CGACGAACCAACGAATCTGGTCTGGCCTTATACCCCAGTTAATAGACAAGAAACCAGCTTTCTGCGCCTTTCTGAGAGCAATAGGGCACATTCCCGATGTTTGTGGACCAGGGTCACTTATTAGAGAAGAGATCAAAGCACTTTTCTAATCGCACTGCACTTTCCAGTCACGTCACCGCAGTACCAGTTGAGAGATAGCAAGGACGCGCAGCGCCTCTGCCATGTTAGGGTAGCAAATGGGCAGCGACTCCACCTCCCAAGTCAACTTGCACTGCGATACTGTGAGAGGGAGGTAATGCAAGAAGGCTACTTCCGTGGGAACTCGAAGCATAACAATAAAGCAAACCACGCCCTTATCCACAACAATTGGCTACATTGACTCTGATGGACGTGAGAATTTCGAAAAACAGAGATTGGAGAAGGAATGCTAACCGCTTCTGGATGCAACTCGGGTTTCAGAGGGAGCTCTGCGCCCTGACGCAGAGCTATACATTTTTCACGAAGGGTTATTTTTCAAAATGATAGGCTGATGACAGGCTTCATGACAATCACTTCTAGTTTTAAGCCCGCAGACTCCAGTGCGGGAACTGATATATCGTCCGGTTATGACTGAATGAGGTGGTCTAGTAGAGTTGACCTAGCTCGATGTTACAGCCTGCGATCACTTTATTATTACAAGATTAATCTCATTCAGGTAATGGTCGAGTCTAAAGATAATGGCAGTCTACTGCGAGAAAACCATCGGCAACAGATTTGGGATTTGATGAACGAAATCAATTATGAAATCACAGTAAAGGTTGGTTTTTCTTTGTGGGAAGAGTTGAATATGTATCTATAATGTCTAACTATTCAGATAGAAATCAGAATAAAGTTGAATGGAAAATACTGCTTGCTCCTCGAATAGAGCCATTTCAGAATTCATCGGGTCACCAATTATCGTACGATGACCTGTGTGAACCGTACTGCAAGAACAACGATGCGTTCGTGGCTCTGTTGAACCTCCACGATCAAAACTTCTCCAGAATTGACGTAAGCTAACAACGTTCCGTAGAGGGACAGGGCAGAGCCCAGCGACACCTGGTTGCAACGCGTGTTCCCACGATGCCCACTGAAATTACTGAAATTTGAGTTTTTCCGTAAAGCGGGGTCATTTCAGATCCGATATGTTGATTCTAGCGACCACTGCTTTACGGACTCATGCTGACAAATTTTCGTGCAAAAATCCGGCACTCAATTTGCACTACCGCTTTTCCCACTTCCCTATTATCCGTTACAGCAGCTGAAGGAAAAATAATAGTCCTCACTCTAGAAAACGCGGCAATGAAGCTGTAGGGCTGTGACTCTGCAACTCTGAAGTCTGTGCCCGCTCGCGACACGTGCGCATGCCACATGGTACGGGTTGCCAGCATGTTCGCTGTGAAGCCTCGGTAACGAATTCTCTCAAGAAACCTTCACAATACCAAACTACGCGCGGCAACCAACGATGTCGCGCTGAAGAAAAGATAGCACAACCAGTAAGGGGCAGAGACAAGTGGGTGTGAAGGATCCGTTCATAGTCGCGGCATCGCGCGCACTACGAACTACCTCCTAGCTCGCTGTATAGAGAGACACGGACATTGAGAGGGCTAGACATACAGAGGGATGTAAACGTAGAGACAGTCGAGAGCGTAGACACCCCGCGGCGCTGATATGCTGGGTGGGTTAGGTCCTAGCGCGAGTGCTCTGTACGTCAACTCGTATTCAGGGCTTTCTTCGCCGACTCAAGTGACGCATCGCACCCCAGACAAGTATAGTGTAGTACAGCTAGCGCGTAAGCGTGTTTTTGTGTGTGTTTGCTTAATTGCGGACGAAGGAGGAGAAGAACAGGTTCGGTCATCAACAACTCTCCACTTTCACTACGACTTTGTTTTATAGGGAAGGATGTATTTTGCTACATTTGCGAATTTGCCTATCTGTTCCCAAAGGTCAACCTCGCTGCAGCGTATCTTGAAGTGTGCTTTCAGATCACTTATCCAACAATGGACATTTTGGGTCAACAAGTATTCATCGCCAGTAATATTTATGGCGTTAGCCTCGTCAACGGTACCAACAATATTGAATCGTTCACTACCGTCATCCTTCGATATTACACGGTATATCCTGAACTGAAGCCACTACTCGACTGGGAAGCAAAAGTGAGATAACTTGTCGTGAATTCCTTAACCTTTAATTAAACAAGGATGCTGAGTTATGGACAAAAATCTGACCCTGGCGTGACTCGAACCCGCACCTCACACACAGCACATATGTGGCCTAGACGAGAGCCCATCCAGCTCATTGGTTCTGATAAAGCGCGCAACAACTAGAAACACATCGTCGTTCTCTTTTTTATAGCATCTATCTGATGTCGACGTAAATCTCATCTTCTGACTCATACCTACCCAAAAACAATTTTTTAATCAACCGGATCTATTTTTTGTAACATTCGTACTGATGCTTTAACAATCATTTCAACCTATTACTATTTCCAGCCGCTTTGCGAATGTTTACTGTTACTTCAGCTAATTAACACCTCTACAGGTGGTCAGCCTTCTCTATGATTCGGGTAAATACAACCTACTACGATGCAGTGCTGGATCGGATAGTCTAGTCGCCAAAAAGGTTTGTGCAGCCTACTAATTATGAAACTCCAGTCATCAGAGATAACTCTGACCCTCAGTAACCAACAAAGAAATTTCTTCTCTTGAAGGTTTAATGGAGACTTGGAAACAAGAACAGTCTCAAACGCTGATTGCAAATGTGCATTGTGAAAGCTCGAAATGCACTTTTCCTGGAGCATGCCGGGAGGCTCCAGGCTTCGAAGCGAGAACGTTATCAGTAGGCTATGGTGGTACTGGCATTCCGCCGGTGAGCAGTGCTCACATGCCAATACTGGGTCTACAGCGAAATTTAATCGCCCAGATCCCGTAGCACCTTCAACCTGCATACTCGAAGTCAACGTTCGGGAGTCGTTCGATGTATCCACGTAACCGTTTCTGGTGGCCAGGGTTCGGTGGGGATTTTTAATACATCACCGCTTCTGAGACGGAAGTTATTAATTAGTTTGAACGAAATGAGAACCTGAATGTTGAACACATAAAAGAGGCGCCAAAATTTATTGCGAAAGACTCAAAAGATTCAAAAGAATCCAAAAGTTTTCACAAAAAATTTTTATTGTTTATACTTGTTTACTTTGTTTAATTACTTTAAAAAATTTTTTGTGAAAACTTTTGGATTCTTTTGAATCTTTTGAGTCTTTCGCCAATTAAATTTTGGTGCTCTGATTTTATGGGTTTTAACATTCAGATAGCAATAAGGCTCGGGACAGCACTATTTTTAAGAAATGAGAACCAAAATTCTACCATCGAATCTCCACAAGACAGCAGTTTGACGACGTAATGCGCAAAGGATGTTCAGCTGACAGGATGGATTCGAGCCCACAATAAAGAGCACAGCTTGATATATCTCTGAAAAGGTTTAATAGTAATGAAGTTGTGAAGAAAGGGATCCAGTAGTTTCAGTTCGATAACACGTGATTACGAGGCTTCTCTCGCCGAAAGAATGTAACTCAATTAAGATTGAAAACCGAACCTTCAAAGGAGCAGCTGCAAGAAAGTTCCATAGGTGAAAAAAAAGTTCATTAGTCCACTGAGCTCTTTTCAGTAACGACGATAAATTATGACAATAAAGACCGAGCCTTCTGTCGAGGGAACCCAGTATACAAAGGTTCATCAAGCGAAAAAGAAAGCGCAAATGGCCAATGGCGCAATATTTGAGACCGTGAGATAGGAAGTGCAACCTGAACCATGTTAATCCACTGACACAATTCAGAAACATTTTCAATTTCTTTGAGAAAACCTCAATTTGCAAAAACAAAAATTTCCCAGACAGACTGACTGACAGCTGGTCCCCAGTCGAATTAGCGTAAAGACTGAAGTGGCGAATGAGATTGTAAGACGACTAATGCGAATTCCGCTGCACTCTTTTTGTGCCGGCAACTCAGGGCATTTCCGCTGGCGGTTTGTGATCCACTTGAACCCTTCCTTCAAAGCACACACTTACTCAGGAGTTCGCGGGGAGAGTTGAAAATCACGTGGGTACTACTGTAAGCGACTTATAGCACTATGACTGATCAACCCTTGTGCGTATCTATGACTTGTCTCTATAGTCAGTAATGTTCCAGCATATGTTCAGGTCAAGGAGATTGGGTTCGAAAACCGCTCCACTAATCACCATTGCTCTCGGTGAACTTATGATTTTCATAGTGATTGCTCATCAGGTGGAACGTTTGTGTTTGGAATTCGTAGTTTCGAGCTATTAGTTACTGTCGGATCGAAGTGCAACGCCGACTACGGCAATTCTTATCGCTGTTCTAATTGAATCCCAAGAACGCTCACGCAGAACTCTACTTTAGGTCGAAACGGCGAGAATCCAAACCAGTTGAGGCGTGCCTTGGGGGTTTGACCCTGTGACCTGGCAGGAATTAACTCTATGGACTGGTATCTTTTGCCAACCGGACTTCCTTTCAGTCAATCGTCGTCAGCACTTTGTTTCCTATGACTCGCATAGCGTACGTTGAATTTCTTGCACAGTTTGAGGCATGGTCTGCCTTTTCTAATAAATGGCATAACGCAATCTCACGCATTACTTCTAAGCTAGAATTTTGACGTTGTTCATAGTAAATTTCTTGTAATATTTTACGATTTAATCCGAAGCACTTCTGGCCGTCGAGCTACATCTTACTCGAATTCTCTTGATAGCTACATCCGTCCTGCTGCTTTTTCATCTGCAGAAGTTTCCAATGAATAGCTTTTGCCGAAGCAACCCAAGGAGCAGCAAATCTTTATTGGGTGGGAAACCTCTTCTTAAATATCCCACTCCCTTGCTTTTCCGTACTATGATTAGTCATTGATACCACAGTCGAATGTAGCAGCGAACATCTGGCCTGTCGGGCCGTATTCCTAGTCCTCGTAAGGACATCTCTGAAAAAGGAAAAGCCACGCACAATGCGGAGAGTTCATGGTGCAGTCTCCTGAACTTGTGAATCCTTAACGGAGTCGGTATGTATTAAAAAATCCCAATGTCCTAGAAGCGCTTCCTTTTTTCTGAAGCCTATCAAGGACAGCCATGAACACAGCAACTTATTTTGCGTGAATTGATGTCCGCGTAGCAGACAATGATTTTGAAACGGCACACGCAGTTACCTCCTTGCGAGTGCTTTCTCATGTAGATAAAAAGCGCGTCATAAGGGTTTGCCTTATCGTATTTGTTTCAGGTATCGATGATGTCTTTATCATGATGGCGTCATGGCATCGTACCGAAAAAAGTATGCATATACCCAAACGTACAGCTGAAATGTTACGAGTACGTGATACTGTACTTTTGCTTCGCCCCTACCCACTGTTTTAATTCAAAATGCAACAAAAGCATTCCAATACTTACTGTAGATTTCCGGTTGTTCAATGGCCATTACTTCACTCACCAATGTGATCTCATTCGGCAATGGTGTCCTATCAAGCACTTCTGCTCTTCAGGTTAGGATAATGCCTTTACTCTCAACACGACACTTCTTCACTGCTTGTGGTTCTCCAGACATTCGCCATCTATTCCGTCGCTGCCAGTGTAATTTGTTATTTTTACCAGTTGATACTTTTTCCGGCGATTCTCACAGTCACTGCCCACAAGGAATATAAATCTATCGACGATGTTCCGAAGTAAGTGAATTCAGAAGCGTAAACTAATAATTAGTTGGCTTACAGACAAAATGGACTGAATTACTGGAAAACTGTGTGGAAAATTGTGCGCTTGACTGCGAACTAGTTTCACTTGAGAAAAGTACCTTAGAGCCCCGAGCGCTTCAATAAGGCGTAACCAAGACAAAATTTACAGGTCGTGCCTGCCAGAGGAACTGACATTGATAAAAAATGTCAGCAAGTTTCACGATCGTGCTTGGAAATGTCTCGCTCGTCTAGTTGGAAAGCCATGGATGCAAATTCTCACAATAATGGTACATGTAACGAAGATTTTGTGCGCCTGGTCCAGAAGTTTGGGGCCTTCATAATGGTAGTCCCACTTTCAGGTTCTCATTATCTATTGGACAATCACATACTACGGTGTTTCTCTCGTTAAGGCTGATCTTGACGTGCAAAAAATTTTTCCGCCCGACGCACGCATTGTTCAGTTCAAAGTGCGCTACGACGAGGTTATCAAGGTGCGCTCCAGTAACGCTTAACAGCTTTACCCACTACTGCACTTCTCTAAAATAGACTACGATAGCACTTAAGTAGCGCACTGTAAAGAGGGAGATTTTGTCTTTTTTGAGGTATCCTATTATCCGGTTCTTTGGAAGACAGGACACTGTTGACTTCTTCACATTCACCCTTTATCCATCTGATTCTGAGATGAATAGTTTCATTTAGACGCAGAGAAAAAACTTATTCACTCATATAAATCGTGAATTTCATGCAAGACTTTGAACGGATTGCGAAAGTATAAAGCACTAGTGCAGTTGTTAAGGATATGCAAACCGTTGCAATTGTGGTGACAAAACCAGGAGATTTACGAGATCCAAAAAAGTTCGCCGAGGTGAACAGCATGATTCGTGAATACGAGACTGCAACTTACAGGTATCGCTTTCTTCAACGACTATTTCGTGGTCGATGATTCCTTTGCTACTAACCCGTCGGCACACATTCAGAAGTTCTATACACTACCAGTGATCAGGGGTAAGGAAGAGAAGAAGCAAACTTCCGAGAAAAACAACTTTTTTTGAAAAAGGGAAAATTTAGAACATAGCGGTACATTCTTGGCTGCTTGTTGAATAAAATCCAAATTCCATTTTTACAATCAATTCGACATTTTTCTTTTCCTTGAATGTGGTGTTGCCTATACAATGACTAGCGGAAGCCAGTCGGTGTACATTTCATATTCCCCGTAGAATGTGGTGCCAGTTTACCGCCCCTTGGGGGTTGAGATAACTTGTATGGCCGATCAACGGAATACTAGTATACTAGTAGAAGTCGCACAGACGAATAAACAATATTTTTATCTTCCAACAACGAAACGACCTCAAACTTGGGTAATTAAACAGGCAACAGAGTAATAGTAGTAACGACTGCATACGCGAGTGTAAAACAACGAGTGTAAAACAAAGTGTTAATCACGCGAGTGTGAAACAGTGACGTACAATAAAACGTGGAATAGAAGATATCTTTCCCCCTTCCCTTTATGT